TGTTAACAACATTGTGCCCACCATACAAGTCAGGAGGTTCCCCAACCAGAAGCCCTGGATAAAGAGACAGGTACGGCACATGCTGCGTGCTCGCTCTCATGCATTCAGATCAGGCGATGAGATGGAGTACAAAACTGCAAAGTACAGACTGAGGAAAGCCATCACAGCGGCCAAGAGGCAGTACAGAGAGAAGCTGAATGGCTTCTATTCTACTGCTGACTCCGCACGGATGTGGCAAGGCCTGCAGCACATCACAGACTACAGGACCACCACCAGCATCATCAGCTCCACAGCTGGACAGTCCTGAGGAAGATCAACCCCCGCAAAGCAGCAGGACCGGACAACATCCCTGGGAGGGCTCTCAGGGCATGTGCTAGCGAGCTGGCTGATGTTCTCACCACCATCTTCAACCTCTCCCTCAGCCAGAGGATCGTTCCCACCTGCTTTAAGACCACGACCAAAATCCCTAAGATTTTGTGTTACCTATTTATCTACTTTATATTTAATTTGTATTTTGTGGCATTCATATGGGCGGCAAAGTAAGAATTTCATTGTACAGGGAAACACGTTTCCTAACTCTGCATATGACAAATAAACACTTTGAACTTAAGTTGTACATTATTTTATTATTATTATTCTAAATTATAAGGAGCGCTACCTGGTGAACGGCTTTATTAAGCACTGTTCTCCTTAATACTGCCATAAACACACACCTGCGAACCCTCTAACATCAGATGAGGGCCCACCGGCCACTGTGGCCGTGTAACTCCAAAAAATCTACAAGGCATCATGGTCAGATGCTAGGACAATGATTGCCATGGCTACTCTGAAATTTATGCCCGGGTTTGGAGTCCAAGAAGGCTGACAAATGCCTTTTGATGAGAGTGGTTTCCATCTAGCCATTGTACATTGAGGAAGCACTGCTGAGATGGTCATCTTTCTAGCAGGTTCCCCCACTGCACCAGAGTGTGGTTGAATGGCCAACTCCAGGAAGAGTTCCATTTCACAGTTATTCAGGCCAGTGTGCTTCTGGGAACACTCAAAGCTTTAGAAATGATTTTACACCCTTGCCTGGACCTATGCATTTCCACAGTTTTATTGCTAAGGTCTACAGAGAGTTCCTCAAACATCATGGCTTGGTTTTTGTCCTGATATGCAGTGTGAAAGGTTGGACTGTATTTACAAAGGTGTGTGCCTTTCTTAACTGTGTCCAGTCAGTCCAGCTTGCACACAGATGGACTCCTGTATTCTAGACTCATCTCAGTAATCATTAAAGCAAACAGGACCACCTGACTGCAGTTTGGAGTGCCACAGCAAAGGGTCTGAATATTTTTGGGAACGAGAGATTTTGTTTCTGATTTTTAATAAATCAGCAAAAATTATAAAACATGTTTTCACTTTGATATAATAAAATCAAATCAAAATCAAATTTTATTTATATAGCGCCAAACCACAACAAAAGTCATCTCAGGACACTTTACAAAGTAAGGTCTAGACCTTACTATTATTATAGAGGAAACCTCTGTAGACTCTAGGAACCACAAGTAAACCTGCACTCAGAGCGAAGTGCTCTGTTGGGATGATAAGACACTATGAGGTCTTTAAGATATGATGGAGCCTTGTCATTAAGGGCTTCGTATGTTAGGAGAAGGATTTTAAATTCTATTCTGGATTTTTACTGGGAGCCAGTGGAGAGAAACTAATATGGGAGAGATATAATATATATTTTAGAGAATTACTGGGACATCCTGATAATCACCTTTATTTGGCCAAGTATGTTATACACAAGAAATTTGTTTCCGGTACAGAACCAAGGCAGCCATCTGCGGCACCAACTCACACCAATGGCTCTAACCATTGGGGGCAACTTGGGGGTTCAGTGTCTTGCCCAAGGACACTTCGATGCTTATCTGAAAATGTTATCATAGCAATAACTCTCAAATGGTTATGGATGATTAAGGATACAATGTCTACTTTGTGACTGACTGTAGTAAGACAGTGATGGCGCACTTACTGAATGTCAGAGTAGGATTCTTCATAACTAACTGTTAAGTCCGACTCTGAAGTAGAAGTTGTTTTTAGCCCTAACATATATTTCAGTGTGATTCCTAGGGGTGATTCTGAGAGAGGCTTGATAAATATGGGACCTGATGTACATTAGTTGGGTGATGACAGAGCCCTCACCAGTGAGAGAAAAAAGCTTTCACACTGTGTGAATGCTTGTGGAAATTACTGTCACTTTATTCCTGCATGTTGACCACCTTTTAGTCCTCACCAGAGTTAAGTTATGTTTTGACAGGGGGGGGAAACACTTATTCACACAGGGCTTTGTAGTTTTGGATTTTGTTTTCCCTTAATAATAAAAACCTTCATTTAAAAACTGCATGATGTGTTTACTTGTGTTATCGTTGACTAATATTTAAATTTGTTTGATGATCTGAAACATTACAGTGTGACAAACATGCAAAAAGATAAGAAATCAGTAAGGGGGCAAATACTTTTTCACACCACTGTACATTAGTTGGGTGATGACAGAGCCCTCACCAGTGAGAGAAAAAAGCTTTCACACTGTGTGAATGCTTGTGGAAATTACTGTCACTTTATTCCTGCATGTTGACCACCTTTTAGTCCTCACTGAATGACTGGTCATTCAGGTATTACCACATCAAATTCAGGGAAATGTTCTTTTTTGTCTTAGACCTTTCCTTTGATGACTGTTTTTTTGCAGAATAGCAAGGTGTCTATCTCTTGAACTAGGCCTGTGTGAGAACCCTCCATAAGACTCGACAGCATAACTGAAATCAGCCATGTTAGGGACCTGCTGTCCTGTTGAGCTGTTTAGAAACTGAAGCTAAAGCAGTGATATGCTTCTCTGTCAGGTCACAAAACTGGCTGCACATTAATATTATTATTGTAATAAACTACAGCAGCATGATGGTTTGCACTGTTACCTCACAGCAAGAAGGTTCTGGGGTTTGAGCCTGGGCCAACCCGGTGCCTTTCTGTGCGGAGTTTGCATGTTCTCCCTGTGCTTGCATGGGTTCTCCGGGTACTCTGGCTTCCTCCCACAGTCCAAAGACATGCAGCTTAGGTTGAATGACAACTCAAAATTGCCTGTAAGAGTGAGTGTGAGTGCATGTAGTTGTTTGTCTACGTGTCAGCCCTGTGATAGACCGGCGACCTGTCCAGGGTGGACCCCGCCTCTCGCCCAATGTCAGCTGGGAGTGGCTCCAGCCCCCCTGCAACCCTATTCAGAAATAAGTGGTATAGATAATGGATCGATGGATAATGCTCTGTGACCTTGCTCTCTGCTACAATTTCAGTATCCTGTGTGTCCGTCAGCTATGCGACCCATATTGCTGTAGCGTAACAGTGTCAGGGTCAGCCAGTAAAGCTACCCACAATGTTAATGGTGGACTTAATTACAAAGCCAGGCGAGATGGGGTAAAGAATATTGCTTTTCTGTATTCACTCAGAAAATACACAGTGATAGTCCAGAATCCAATATCCACGTCAAACAACAGTCCAGGGTCAATACCGGCAAACGAGCACAGCTAGGGGATCCAAAAACGGGAGGTCAAGAAGCTGGTCCAGTAGTCGGTATGCAGAAGAAACATTCAACAATCAGGAGGGCTAGGCAGAAATCGGTAGTCAGGAAACAATCCGGGGTCAATAACATGAATCACTAAAACAAGGATAACACTGGAAAGTCTGCACGAAAACAAGAACAATCTGGCAGGTTACTGATGGGAGAAGGCTGCTTATATTGGGGTGAAAACAGGTGCAGGCAATTAGCACTGATTACTGTAAAGAAACCATGACAGATAAACCTAAAACAGGAAATGGCGACAAAATAAGAGCCTAAAACAGGAAGCGATAGAACCCTCACAAACAGGGTGACTGTGCAGAAGTTTGACCTAAATGCAGAACAGATAACTGTTTCTTTAAGTTACACTGACAGTACATTTACCTTTCAGCAAACTTACAGTGAATTTTTTACCCAGTGTGTCTATACTTTAAAAATGATGGAAAATAGAGAAAGTACATCAGCTCAAGTGGGCTGACCTGACCTACAGTTTAAAAATGACATCCAGTTAGTTGGCCAACTTAGCTTTGCCTACATTCACAAATGCTCTTGAGTAGTTACAGATTAGGTTCTGTTTTAATAGCATTTAAATGAGTATTATTGCTGTAGCTTTTATAAGTAAAGTATTACTCAATCTCAGAGATTAATTCCACAGGCAAGCATGTCTTACTGAACTGAATTAGGAGCAAGTGTTATGGTTTAGTCCACCTCACCAGGAGGGTGAGGGAGAACTGGGGTTGGACTCAAGATGGCTGACCCAGGTGCTAGTACAAAAAAGGTGGTTTAATGGACCGAGTGGACCTGACAGCGAGGAGTGAGTTGCTGAAAACAAAGAAGAAAGAAAACAGTCAAACATGTTAGTTTCTTTATATCTTCTTAGGTGATTTTTAGTAGGTAGTCATCAGTTGTCAGTCAAGTCACACATAATAAATGCTGTGCAATCTGGGAGCAAGGAGTTGCACTTTTATGTATCCTCCCAGCCAGGAAGGAACGTTCCCACAACTTTTAGTAACATTCTCTACGAGTTCTACAAAGGTTACACATGGAACATTAGTAGAAAACATTCCGTTAATGTTTTAAGGAAGCTTTCACTGATAAAAAATGTTTTTGCAATGTTATTTTTCCACCGATTTATAAAGTTCTAACTGAAATATTCAATAAGTGTTCTTAAAATGTTGTGAATGCAATGTTTGTTTGCAAACATTGAAGCAACGTTGCATATTTAACGCACCTAAAATGTTCTGACTGCAACGTTTCGAGAACCTTCTCAGAATGTTGTCCTTGTAACGTGTCTTGTATAACATTCACGCAATGTTATTTATTAAACAACAGCTGTTAATCAGAGTAGGTAAAGGGTAAAAAAAAAAAAAGAATAATGAGAGTAATAGTCTGTCCTTTTTCTTTGCATTAACAGAACTATGGACCTGAGCCTGCGAGATGCTCTGGGTGGGGGTGGAGGTGGGGTCCCAGGTATGGCTCCTGCTGAGGATCCAGTTAGTTGGCCAACTTAGCTTTGCCTACATTCACAAATGCTCTTGAGTAGTTACAGATTAGGTTCTGTTTTAATAGCATTTAAATGAGTATTATTGCTGTAGCTTTTATAAGTAAAGTATTACTCAATCTCAGAGATTAATTCCACAGGCAAGCATGTCTTACTGAACTGAATTAGGAGCAAGTGTTATGGTTTAGTCCACCTCACCAGGAGGGTGAGGGAGAACTGGGGTTGGACTCAAGATGGCTGACCCAGGTGCTAGTACAAAAAAGGTGGTTTAATGGACCGAGTGGACCTGACAGCGAGGAGTGAGTTGCTGAAAACAAAGAAGAAAGAAAACAGTCAAACATGTTAGTTTCTTTATATCTTCTTAGGTGATTTTTAGTAGGTAGTCATCAGTTGTCAGTCAAGTCACACATAATAAATGCTGTGCAATCTGGGAGCAAGGAGTTGCACTTTTATGTATCCTCCCAGCCAGGAAGGAACGTTCCCACAACTTTTAGTAACATTCTCTACGAGTTCTACAAAGGTTACACATGGAACATTAGTAGAAAACATTCCGTTAATGTTTTAAGGAAGCTTTCACTGATAAAAAATGTTTTTGCAATGTTATTTTTCCACCGATTTATAAAGTTCTAACTGAAATATTCAATAAGTGTTCTTAAAATGTTGTGAATGCAATGTTTGTTTGCAAACATTGAAGCAACGTTGCATATTTAACGCACCTAAAATGTTCTGACTGCAACGTTTCGAGAACCTTCTCAGAATGTTGTCCTTGTAACGTGTCTTGTATAACATTCACGCAATGTTATTTATTAAACAACAGCTGTTAATCAGAGTAGGTAAAGGGTAAAAAAAAAAAAAGAATAATGAGAGTAATAGTCTGTCCTTTTTCTTTGCATTAACAGAACTATGGACCTGAGCCTGCGAGATGCTCTGGGTGGGGGTGGAGGTGGGGTCCCAGGTATGGCTCCTGCTGAGGCCATGCTGAAGAGAGATTTTGTGGCCACACTGGAGAAGGAGAGCTATGACGACAAGGTGGGGGAGACAGTATCCAAGAGTGACTACCGACCCTTACTTGATGGAAAAGACACCAAGAGCGGTATGTTCCTGACAGCATGTAAGCAAAGATGTGAAGCAGGAGTGATGCTTTTCTTGATGTGATGAGATCCTTGTAGGGATATTTTCATCTCTGTAGGAAGTCAGAATTGATTTGGCTGTTATGCCTTTAGAATTTGGATACTTTGGTATTATTGGGCTTGAATTTGAGTCATATAGCTGACACTGGCTTTTAATTTCATGGTGGTAAAATGACTGTATCCAATAATTATGTTGCAGTGTGTGTGGTCACTGCAGTCTTTAAAGACCATATCATTGGTTTTGCATGTTTAAGTCAGAGTCAAAGTGTTTATTGTCATATGCACAGTAAGGAAACATCTTTCCCTGTACAATGAAATTCTTACTTTGCTGTCCACAATGAATGCCAAACAATACAAAGTAAAATATAAAGTAGATAGTAACAATCTAAAAGCACTTGAAAAACAACAAGTGAAAGAAATATAATAAAAAGTATAATGAGAATACAATAAAGAGAAACATATATACAGTAAGAGAGAACGTATGCTACATTGAAGCTATATGTGCAACAGTAAGCAATGAATGTGCAATTACATGAAGTGATTCCTGATTATAAACTCCTGTCAGCTGTTTAGGTGTCTGATGACAGTTGGAAAGAAAGAGAGGATTGTGCAATACAATGAAAAATTCGTACTCTGTCCTCCACATGAATGCCACACAATACAAGTGAAATATAGAGTAGATAAGTAGGTAACACAAAATCTAAGGCACAACAAACAGGTACTGTACCTCGGGGGAATCCAGCATTGATGAGCTGATAATTCATTGCCGCGGGGGGGTTCACTGGCTGACTGCTTGTAGGTCAGGACTTGGTCAGGTAAAACAACTAGTCCTTGTGCAGGAACATTCTTGAGCATGCAGTAACCCCAGGCTCTGCGTTTTTCTCCACATCCTTTGGTCACACTGCAGCAGCAGGAGGTAAAATATATCCACAAAACTGGGAGAAGTTGAAAAGTTCCGCTTTTACACTGGCACCATGGATGTCAGGCAAGCTCACATGAACGCGCAACTGCCTTGGGATTATGGCCATTCAAGGAAATCCTTAAACTATCACGTAAGACTTAGTTTAGTTAGAAAAAAAGTCTCATGAGCAAGAGTTTGTGAGACTTGTGTAAATGAGTTGCTTCTGCATAGAAATGCTAGAACATACATACACCTCATTTTTTGAGCTTCTTTTTTAGCTTTAGGCCACATTTAAGATGATAATTCACCATTGTAACATTTAAATTAAGTCAGAAAACATGGAAGAGCATGACATGTGCTCTTTAAAGTCTTTGCTACATATATTATATAAATCTGAACAGACATGCATGTACATTAAACTGCAACTTGACTGGTTGGTAGAAACATATAAGAACAAGTCAATAATTCTAGCTGACTGTATTTTGAACAACAAAAAAATTTGAAGACCATCTTAGGCCCTGGGAACTTGTGTTTGCAATTGTACACAGATTTCTGGCATTGTTTAGACCAACCCCACTTAGAGTGAAGAAAGGGAATGCAAAAGGGAAGTGTACCAGCTGAATGTTGCAGATGATATGCCCAAGCAGGACTGAAAAACAGAGATGGTTGACTTTGGCCTCTCTTGGACTTGGGTTTAAAGCACAGCCCACCACTGAAGTGACTATTAGATCACAACGTTTATTCCACATATCGGAGGTATGGTTATCTAAATCAAGAAATACAAATAACAACAAATGATGAAATGATATTACACAATCGAACAGATACTTCCCAAATTAACCATTTCTGGGTTACATACGTGTCTGTATGACCTAATATCGCAAATGAAGCGGACCGTGTAATAGTCCCAAAACAGCCACAGAAGGGCGTTCTAAGTCTACATAAGTAACACTAACGAATACATAAGACGTCAATTCTTTAACGTAAATCGGCCTTTTTTCTTCTTATTACCAACGCATAATATAGCAAACTTTACCCACATTCATGGACGCACACCAGAAGGGGGGTAAACTTGGTAATACATTCCGACTAACTGGAACTCCGAATACAATGCTATTTATCCCCTCACACGGTGGCTAATGTGACACACTGTGAGAACTGGAACATACCACTCGCGGGGGGAGAAACAAGAGGGGAGGAAAATGGAATAGTCCAAATGACATTACCCTTTTAACAAGGACAGTTATGCTCAAGAAGAATGATGCCCTTGAATAACACAGTAGGATATTAACAAATTGTTTCACTGAGTTTAACACTGGGGGATTGTGCCAAATAATTATAGGTTCTGAAGATACATTTTTGCAGTTCTCCAATGATAGCAGCCAGGAGCGTGGGCTTTACAAATTTAGCGACATAGCTAATACTAGAGTAGACAGACTTGAAGGTTTGGAGATTTGAGTCCTCCGTGGTAGGTTTTACATCACCTAGAGTTTTATACTGTAAGAGTAGAGAGTTTAATGCAAAGAGCTTTATTTCTCCAGTAGAATTATTTCAGGGCATCAGTCAGCTTGTAGGTCCATTTTGGTGATGGGAGAACCATAACCAGTGAATTTTTAAAAGCAAAATCTTGCTCAGACAAGTTGTTACTCAACAGCTTTGTGTTTTAGCAGTTCTACATTTTGATTGGTTGCTTCGACAGTACAACACTAATGGTTAACCTCAAATGATATGGCCGCATGAGAAGAGTATTTCTGACATAATGGCCTGCCAGACTGTCCTACTGACATACTGTATCTCGTTGGATAGTTCATGTGCATTGTCTGAATTACTACCAGTCTATATCTATAGTCTGAGACAAGAGACAATCTCCACATCTGTCCTTTTCCAGATGTGTTTTCTTCATCCTGTATTTTTCTTTTGAGTTTAGTCATTTCTATCCTCTCCCCCATTTGCATTCTGTAGCAGGAAATGTGCTTTTCCTTTACTCTCTGCTTTTATTCATGTGGAATCTGTATAGTAATTTGAGGCTGCAGCTGTGATGAGCGGTGATGTGTAATAAACCTGATACTTCAGAATGAATCGAATTAGTGTTGTCATGATCCTGGAATTTATAACTTTGATAATATTGATATTTGATACTATTTTCGATACTACTGGGAAAACTGACACCCAATTAAGAGCATACAATTTTACATTTAAAAGTAAAGTATAACAAGGCTCTATAGGGATGTCATTTTAAAGCTGTGGTTCTCAAACATTTTTTGTCATTCCCCACTTAAGAGGGTGGGCGAATTTCCAAGCCCCACTTGTCAAAAAAAAAAAAAAAATGAAATCGGCCAATTTTTAAATTTCAAATATATTGAAATATCAAATAACACCAAGTTCAAAACAGATAATATATAAGTTCAACTGTATTGTTTGACGGGGATATTTTTCAATTTTGCAGCACTTGTCTCATCCAGCATAATCAACACCATGTCTACAGCAGCAGGGAGAATGAGCTGCTCAGCAACTGTGTGGGATTTTTGCACTGTGCAGTTCTGTATGCAACTTTGAAGGAAGCCATTTGTGCTTTGCTGTCCACTGATGCAGATTTTACCATGCGATTTTCCTGCTGGTGGTATTCTGCCAGCCGAGTGGCTTATTAACGTGACTGGGGTGTGTTGTCTTTAAATGTCTTCTTAATTTGTTGGGTCTCATGCCTGCTGCCAGCGGCTTAAGACACAAGACACACATGGGTCCCTCCTCTGCCCCCACCATTCCCACCATGAATCCTTCATCATATTTTCTTTTCAGCTGGTGTTTTGGTTGATAAGGCTACTGCCTGTTGTTTCTTTGTCTGCTTGCGCTGAAGCGCCAACTTTTTTGTGGTCCATGTAACAAATGTATCCATTTACGTTATTATGGCCACCACGTACACTATTGGCCCTCTTTGTGAACCTTTCCTAATATTGTTGCGCTGCAGTTAACATGCCGACGGTAAACTGTTATTGTTGCTCTATGGTTCCACTTTTTTCTGATTTCTGATTTTTTTTAATGTTATTTTAATTTACTTGTATTAATGACCCATTTCTAATTTTTTCCGTTCATTGCGCCCCACCTGTCATGTCTTTATTCCCCACTAGTGGGGCACGCCCCACACTTTGAGAACCACTGTATTAAAGCATATTTTAGGTTATGAGTGAGATTTCTATAGAACAAGGAGCCACACAGTAAAAACATGTCAAACCACAACAGAACATTTAATACAACACTAATTAGTTATAACATAGGTAAACACTTGTTTACTTTCTCTGCTGCTAATTCTGTGTCAGTCATCTTGATAACTTGGATCTACTTTGTTGAAGGTCACTATAATGCACTAGAGGTAATGTGGTTAGATGAAAACAACACTGTAGTGCAAAATAGGAACATGAGAAGAGCCTGAGTTTGCAGTACTCCCTGAGACAACACCACTTTTTCAGTCTGTCAGTCACAGTACAGTAACTTGATTTGCATTATGTATTCAATGGCCATGGGATTGCACCATTATTATAGAGCATCTGGAGTTTGTTGTTGCTATTAATGGTTGTCAGGCCCACAGCACCATACAGCTGGGGGAAATAATTTCCTGAACACCCTTGCTTTTCTCCACTGCCGTCCTCTGTTCCTGTTTTTATTTGTTTATTTTCTCTTTTATTTTTTCAACTTCATACATCTGTTTCTTTCTTACTTTCTTTTGTTCTAATGCACATCATTCATTTTAGTGCAGGGTGCTCGCATTCCTTGTATCCTACCAGCCACCATCTTAATTTCTATTTTCCTCTACACTGCCTCCTGCCTCCTTTTTTTCCCACTTTACATCATTCCTTGTCCCCCTACATCTTTACCACTCTGCTTTTTTATAGTGAGATTAGTGTTAGCATGATATACAGTTCTACAGAGGAATCATCGAGTCTGTTCTCTGCTCATCCATCACTGTCTGGTTTGGTTCAGCAACCAAACAGGACAGGATTTGACTCTAGCAGACAGTCAGGATTGCAGAAAGAATTATCGGTGCCAGCCTGCCCTCCATGGAGGACC